ATATATATACAGATATTAGGGTTATAATAAACTATGTTCATATATATATATACAGATATTAGGGTTATAATAAACTATGTTCATCTATATATATATACATATATTAGGGTTATAATAAACTATGTTCATATATATACAGATATTAGGGTTATAATAAACTATGTTCATCTATGTATACACAGATATTAGTTTTATAATAAACTATGTTCATATATATACAGATATTAGGGTTATGATAAACTATGTTCATATATATATACAGATATTAGGGTTATAATAAACTATGTTCATATAATTTAAAATACTCAGTTTTTTTTACATTATTTCAATTCACTTACCCTTATTCTAGTCACAATTCTTATTTACTTCAAATGCTTTTGTCGATTACATCACCATGAATTCCGAAGTTAATGTCATCATTTCGAGTGTCAAACATTTGACAGGCTCTATACCACAGTTTGAGGTGCTGTCGACCTGATGGGAGATTTGTCTACAAAGAGATATTAGTTACAATATACTGTGTTCATCTGTATACAGATATTATAGCTATAAAAGACTGTATTTATCTATATACAGATGCTAGTTATAATAAACTCTGTTCATCTATATACAGATATTAGAATTATAATACATTGGGCTAATTTCCATCCAGATGTTAGAGTTGTAATACACTGTATTTTTATCTATATGCAGGTATTAAAGTTTTAACACTGTGTTTATCTGTTTTAATTTTGATTATTATATCTAGTGTTAATGTTGTACAGTATGCATTTTTTTTATAAGCATGACTTCCTGTTGTCAGAGCCATAGCTAGGGGAGGGGCAATTGCCCAGGGTGCAGTCTGAGCACTAAACCAGTTATTCAATAATTCATGCAGCACTATACAGACTGGAGGGCAAATAAAAAATTGACCATTTGAACTTATCATCCAAATTAAGCAAGATAACTTGCTTCACTCCTTGTTCTTGAACTACGGTACCAACTGCTGGAAGCATGGTCAACAGCATAATAGGGTTTTTACTGTTAGGTTAGGTTATAAAGTAAAGCAAAAACTGAAATTTATTACAATTAAATGCAGAACATTGATTTGTTTGTTAATTCATTTATGTTCTAGTAATTATCTTTAAAAATATATATATTAACTATCCTATGTTATGAAAATACTTGATTTTGATGGAATAGCAACCATGAATAACAAATTTGTTCTGCCAGTGTGTACTATGGAAAGGTTAGGCAGATCTAAGGTCCAGTACACAATATGGAACCTCTGAAGACTAACGAAGAAGGGGGGCACATTTCGTGAAACTTGCCCAGGGTGCAAAAATAAATGGCTACAGCACTGCCTGTTGTATTAACATTTTTCTTGTTGTAAGTGTTTCCAACTTTTTTCTCTTGATCTCTATTTTATCTATTTCTTTACTCAAAGGTAATTAGATAAAATATTTTGAACATTTCAAATTTTTAGCTGTTTTCTATAATATCCCAAATTTGCTTTATCTTAGCTTGTATTAGACAGAATCCGCAAGAGCGTTCTGGAAATAGTTGAAAGAAAAGGTGATTTCGCGAAAGCATTCTTCAAGTTTGTCATTAAGTATAAATTGTGGTGGATGTCCAAAGGCTTTAGGACACCATTATTGGACAGGTAGGTTGCATACTTCACAGTTCAAAGAAGACATTATAATTGATTATGTTAGTTGTATACTTCTCTAATCAAAGTAAGATTCCATTATTGGATGTGTAAGTTGCATACTTCACTATTGAAAGTAAGATGCCATTATTGACTGTGTAAGTTGTATACTTCACTAATCAAAGCTAAGGTGCCATTATTGGCTGTGTAAGTTGTATACTTCACTAATCAAAGTAAGATGCCATTATTGGCTGTGTAAGTTGTATACTTCACTGTTCAAAGTAAGATGCCATTATTGGCTGTGTAAGTTGTATACTTTACTGTTCAAAGTAAGATGCCATTATTGGCTGTATAAGTTGTATACTTTACTGTTCAAAGTAAGATGCCATTTTTGGGTGCTTAAGATGCATAATTTATTAGCTAAACTTGGTAAGTGAATTAAAGTAACAGCATTATAGAAATATTTATACAGTTTCTAAACTAGGTAACTAACTAGGTTGAAATATTTAATATACAGGATAGCTTTTTAATGTTCTCAGTTAAACAATACAACTTTGTAATTTTAGCAAGTAAATGGGTGAATGGAAGAGCTCTGTAAAGTACTAAAACGTTACTTTCTGTAGTTTGTATAGTACTGAAACACTTGACTGTCAATAGTTTGTACAGTAGTACCACACGTGAACATCTCTAGCTTAGTTTTAAAACTCCTACTTCTGTTCAGTACAGTACTGGTAACAGTACAGTGTCTGTTTTAAAATACTACTATTAAACATATCCTAACAAGTTCTCTATTTTTCTATGTTCAGGATTGTGTTTAAGAGTGTCAGGCAGCTGATTGGAGGAAGATTAAAGTTTGTAGCCTCTGGTGGAGCCCCTCTTTCTCCTGACACTCATGACTTCATACGCGTTTGTCTGTCAGTTACAACATTCCAAGGCTATGGCTTAACAGAGACCACAGCAGGAGCTACTACTATGGCATGTAGGTTATCGTTGTTCCTAATAATACTGATAGTTAGGAGTTCTGTTCAAATTATGATGCATACATGTAACTGTG